CCCCCCCTGCTCTAACCACTAGACCCCACTCCCCTCCCCGAGCTGGGGAGAGAACCCAGGAGCCCTGGCTTCCAGCCCCCCTGCTCTAACCACTAGACTCCATTCCCCTCCCTGAACCGGGGAGAGAACCCAGGAGTCCTGGCTCCCAGCCCCTTTCCCAGGTGGAGCCACCCCAAACATGGCTGGCAGTTGTGGGTAGTTTTCACAGCCTGGGGTGTTAACAGTTTAACCCACGAGGCAGGTTTTCAAGTTCCCCACCAGAGACGATTTGCTCGAATCTACCTGGGTCACCCACCCGACTCCCGCCCTGGTGTCTGGGCGCCTCACGCCCTCTATTTACCCCCCACTGGGGGCCGGCTATTATCCCATGGTACAGAGCGGGGGAGAGAGGCTAAGTGACCGAACCAGGGTCACCTGGGGAGTTTGTGGCAGAGTACAGGCTCGAACCAGGTTGTCATGTCCTAGGCCGGGTCCTAACCACTGGGCCATCCTGCCCCGGGTCAAGGGAAATAGCAGCTCTAGGGGAGCAACATTGTCTCCCCCACGCACACTTGGGGGTCAGGTGGAACAAACCAGGAACTCCTTGAAAACCTCCATCCTCCTCCCCACCCCAGCTCCCTGGGCGCCCCGCTTCCCTCCCAGAGATTCCCTACAACCCCCCGATTGTCCCCCATGCAAGGGGCTGCATGTGCCCTGCCATTCCCGCCACCTCCCATACCCGGGTCTCCCAGTGTGCTCTCCTGTGCCGGGGTAGCTGTGTGTGCCCCCCACCTCAAATGACGCTAAGGATCGTGTTTTTAAGTTTTCTCCCCCAACCGGAATGTCTAAAACAATTACTATTTTTTTTTTCATGGAAGCTGACATTTTCACAAAATCCCAGGACTCCAGGAGCTGGGGATTTGGAGAGAAACAGAGACTGTCGCCAGACATCGAGGTGCTGTCAAAACCCCTGAGGTGCCTCTTGCTGCATCTTTGGGCGCCTAAATCTCTTGAGAAATTTGGGCCCAATTTCTCTCTCTCTCTCTCTGACACACACACACACACACACACACACACACACACACACACACACACAGAGCAGGACTCATCCGCTCAAGCAGGGGGAGGCCGGGACACAGGCACACACAGGATCCGGCCTTGGCACACGACAAGAAGCAATTTCACATTGGGAGCCGGGCTGGAGGATAAGCCCTGGCCCAGCTGTCAAGTTCACAGCAGCGAAGGGAAAAATATCGAGCGGCGTTTCGGCTTCGTACTGGCCTCCCGTGACCCTGAAAGGTGTCGGCTGCTGGCAAACGACCCGCAAAAATCTCCTGTGTGTGTGTGAGAAACAGAGGGGGGGGTGGTGGTGCTGGTGGATAGATAGATGGATAGATAGAGGAGGTGAATGTGGATAGATAGATAGATAGATGGATGGATAGATAGATAGATAAAGGGGTGGATGGGGATAGATGGCCAGACAGTGGGTGGATGTTTTGTCACCCCCAGTCACTGGACACGCTCCTGTCCCCAGGGCGATTTCATTAGAGTCTAAACCAGCTGGAGGAAAAGCCCCTCGCTAAGGGTGCGAAGTCAACGATGCCATAACTCAGGTGGGCCGTGCGACCTTATCCGCACCCCCTGGTGCATGTGCTCCCGAGCCAGCCCGGCTTTGGGGGCGACTCGGCCCGGCCCCTGCCGGGTTTGCTGCCGACGCCAGGAGCCGGGTGGGCCATGCGGCGGGGCGTTGGAGGAAGGGACAGGAGCCTCCGCCCCGCAGCTCTTGGGCGAGGCCAGGCAGGGCTTCCTGGTTCCCGTCGTGCTGGGAGCGCCCTGCACAAGCAGGCCCTACGCCCCGCACACGCAGGCCCTACGCCCCGCCAAGCGGATGCTCCTGCCCGGCGTCTCAGCTCCCCGGGGTTGATCACAGGGCTCGGTCCCTCGCCGGCACGGGGAGAAAGGAATCCACCCGTGGGAAGCTGGCGGGTCCCGGAGGAAGGCCCAGAAGGGATCAAGCTCTGAGCAGCCAGCAGGGGGGCGGCGTGAACCACGTGCCGGGAACATGGCGCGAGGCCACACGCGGAGGGATGAAGAGAAAAGCGAACGTCGAGCCACGAGGCCAAAACTCGGCACGGAAGAGCCGCCCTGTGACGGGCCCCGGCCGTGCCCGGCGTTGAAAGAACCAGGTACGGCCGGAGTTAGGGATGGTCTGGAAAGGCCGGCGCACAAGGGGACCCGAATTAAGGATGCCGAAGCACCTTCAACTGGTCTTTTAACTCCGGTTTCATCCACGCGCATCCAGCGCTTTGGTCGAGGGAACAGATACGCATCCAAATCTGCGTCCCCCAGATTGTAGTAGCTACACAAAGATTTGGCTTGAGCTTCACAGCCAGTGTGTGTTTATATATTATAATTATAGATAATAAACGGTGTGTGTGGATCTCTATTCTATGGACACTTTCACACACATGCATGTGTCTGTATATCTCTCAAATCGGCGTGTCCATGTAATAGAGAGAGAGAGACATCTATGCAAATAGGTTTTATTTTGTCCGTATTCATGATTTTATACATACAACGGATGAAAGGTCTAGACCAGTGGTTTTCAAACTTTGTTTCTGGAGACCCAGTTGAAGAAAATTGTTGATGCCTGTGACACAACGGAGCTGGGGATGAGGGGGTTGGGGTGTGGGAGGGGGTCAGGGCTCTGGGCTGGGGGTGCAGGCTCTGGGGTGGGGCCAGAGATGAGGGGTTTGGGGTGCAGGGGGAGCTTAGGTCTAGGGCAAAGGGTTACCGTGTGGGAAGGGATCAGGGCTCTAGGGGTTTGGGGTGGAGGAGGTGGCTCCGGGTTAGGGGGGGCTCAGGGGTGGGGCAGGGGATCGGGGCACGGGGTTACCTCGGGCAGCTCCCGGTCAGCGGCGCAGCAGGGGTGCAGAGGCAGTTTCCCATGTGTCCTGGCACCCGGGGCCGCGTTGCGCCCCGGAAGTGGCAGCAGCAGGTTTGGCTCCTAGGCGGAGGCGCGCAAGCAGCTCCGCATGGGTCTCGCCCGCAGACACCACCTCCCCAGCTCCCATTGGCAGTGCAGAGCCAGTGCTCGGGGCGGGGGCAGCGCGCGGAGCCCTGTAGCCCCTCTGCCTAGGAGCCGGACCTGCTGCTGGGCTCTTCCGGGGCGCAGCGCGGTGTCAGAACAGGTCGGGACTAGTCTGCCTAAGCCGGGCAGTGCCGCCGACGGGACTTTTAACAGCCCGGTCAGCGGTGCTAACTAGAGCCGCCGTGACCCACTGCTCTAGATAAGACTTAGTCCTGCCGTGAGCGCAGGGGACTGGTCTAGACGACCCTCGCGGTCCCTGCCACTCCTCCCAATCTATATACAATATATAGACACACACCTGGGAACGTCTCCATAGATACACGGGTACGTATATATGTATGCGTGTCTTTTGCATCATTTTTATTATGCGTGTACGTATATGATATATAACCAAATCTGGGTGTGTGCGCATATCTATTACATACACACCCATGCACTTAGGGTGTTTTATATACATACAGGCAGACATCTGTGTATTTGTGCAAAAGTTTGTGTAGCTAGGTACGTATGACAGATCATCCCATCGGTGGGTGTATATTTTATCGTATGTAACACACAGATACCCTCACCGATGGGATGATTATATAATCTACACACATCTGATTCGATATCGAAGTGCCTGTCTCTATCAGCCGCACAGAAATGTTTATGACACAGACGGAGGCCTTCGATCTAACCACCGCCCGCTTTGCACAGCTCCTGGCCGGAGCCTCTCGCGCGGGGTTTCTCGCTCGCTGTATAAATAAATCGCGCGGGCTCCATTTATAAACCTGGTGCATATTTCATGAGGTTTGGCTCTAGCGGGACCCACTCTTCGCTGGAATCCAGGCCAGTTACGTAAGGGCACCGGGGTCCTTCTCCACGCCAGCGCCGGGATCTGTTTTGCTCGCTCGGCGGTTTGCGAACAACACGATGTCCCGGCTCGGCATCGATCCGCCTCCGCCCCACCTCCCCCGGGTGCGGCAGCGCCGGCCGGCTACGGACCAGACAGGAGGGCTGGGGCCCGAGGCAGGAATTCACGGCTTACGTTCAACCTTGTTCAACCCCCCAGCACACCCCCACAGGGCACATCCCCCTCCCCCCCCCCCAAGAGATACCCACATGCACACGCTCGTGCGCCAACACGCACACAGCGCAGGGTCCGTCCCCTCCAGCAGGGGGCAGCAGGGACCCACACCAGGCCCTAACCCAGCCCCACTCCGGCTACTCCATGACCTGCAATATTCTTCTCGCATTTTTTTTACCCTCTCCCTCTCCCTCCCCCCTGCCCCCACTTGCAGGGCAACCCCAACATTTTGTGATCCCCGCCACGCTCATCGCAACCCCCCCCAGATCTCCCAACCCAATGAAGGGTTCAAACTGAAGCAAGGGAGTGGGGTGAGGAAAACTGCACCGAGCTACGGAAGGCCACAGCGGGGAGATTAGAGAGGGCCGGGGGGGGGCAGGGGGGGATGAATGGATGAAGGTTATAAATAGAAAGCAAATATCCCTCCATCGCATCTGCCCCAGGAAGGGCTGATGGGGAGGGAGATGCTTCCCAAGGCAGATCTGGGGCGCACCCCCGAGCGAATCGCCAGCCCCTGCACCCCACCCCAAAGAGTTGTGTATGGGGGGGGGGGGGGGGG